TTTTCACAGCCCTTGTCATCACTCTATTTCTTTTCCCTCTCTAGCTCCAGGAGGGCTGAAAGTTGCATCTGTCTGTTCACTACTGCCTATACAGGGGTTATAGTGCCTGATGCATCATGGTAGGTGCTTGCTATGGGCTAAAACATGTCCCCCAAAAGCCACATGCCCTAATGCCCAGAACCTCAGAATGTGACTCTACTTGAAGACAGGGCCTTTAAAGAGGTGAGTTCGTTAAAATGATGCCAGTAGGGTGACCTGATGTTCTGCTGCACCCACTGGGCCCCACGGAAAGCCAGCCATCCTTGTCCTGCCAATGACTGCGCAGACCCCTGCCCTCCACATGGCAGCTGGGTTCATGCCTGTCTGTTTTCCTAATAGCCCCTCCACCTGCTACAGTAGCAGCCTCTAGGGAAGAGCCTGGGTTTCGGGAGCTCAGCCAGGCTCTCCTTCTGGCAGACAGCCCCATCTCTCTTGGAGCCCCCTCACTGGCCTGGGTTGGGTGACATACCCTCTCCCCTTCTTGAGTGCTCTCTGCTCCTAGGAGCTCCCTCCCAAATGCCCCTCTTCAGTCTTCTCCAGCTCAGGCTGAAGGTGGAGTGATCATCAGAGGAGTAGTTTGAGGTCTTGTCCTTAGCTGTTGTTCCAGACATTCCACAGGCTGCTGAGCTTTTAGAACAAAACCAAAGACCTTGTATTAATCAGGATCCTGGCAGGAAACAGAGGCAGACTCAGCTGTTTTGTTTGTTTTTAAGAGAATTCAATGAAGGGACTACTCACTTGGGGAATGGGTATTAAGGAACCTAGCATGGGGTGCTGAGGCACCATGGTAGTAGCAATGGGTGGGAGCCCTTATCACTCCAGGCTAAAGGGGTAAGGGGAGGAAATGGGGTTATCAGGGCCAGTGAAGGGGGTTACAGCAGGAGCTATAATGGGGGAGGGGGGGTATAGCCATTGCCAAAGCTGCAGTCCTGGGTAGGTAGGAGCCAGGGAAAACTATACCCCAACCTCTGTGTTGTCCCATCACCTGTCGGTTCCTCCCACTGGCCAAATCCAGCCAGAGACCAGGGGCACTGGGAACCCAGTGATGCCCTGGGCACAGAGCAAGACAGAGAAAGGTGGAGTGGGGCAAGAAACGCCAAAGGGGTGGGCGGGTGATCCAAGCAAGACCAATGGGGTGGGGTGCTCCCACCTCCTGGAACCTGACTCTTGACCAGATGAAGCCACAGGCCTGTGCAGTGAACAGCAGCATCCTGACATTGTTCCACTCCAAGGCTACAACTGAGGGCTTCCCAGAGCCCTGGAACAGCCTGAGCGCCCACCCACCGCTGGTCAAGCTGGCTCTCCAGTCTCTCAGCAACTCCAAAGCCTTGAAAGCCTCTCGAGAAAGGCAGTCAGAATTGGTAAACATCTTCACCCATATGAGTTGGGGGTCTTTTTCAAACAGATAACAGGCAGAGCAAACCTGTTACCAGGAGGGCTGAGAACCAAACTCAGGGCTTTGCAGACAAAGCCGGAGCCAATGTCACTCAGCACTGCACTTGCAAAGTCATCAGCAACCAGACAGAGATCCTAGAACCCATATACCCCTGGAGTTACTACTACCCCAAGAATGGATTCTTCGTGCTCCTGCCTCTCAAATCAGCATCTTCCAAAATGACACCCAAGGCAGTGCATTTATTTGATTGGCTAAACCAAGGTCATGTGCCTCCAACCAAACTGCAAAGAAGCCTGGAAAAGCAAGTACCCCCACATTCCAAATAGGGGGTGAACCCCCAAACATGGGAAGAAATTTTGCATGCTGGGCAGCCAACAATGTTCACTAACTAATACATGTACCTTTTTCAATGTTGGAGTATTTCCTTCAGACACTATCTCCAAAGTCGGTATCTACTGACTTGTGACTCTTCATATGTATTGCCAAATTTCTTTCCCTAAAGGGTTAAACTCCTTCAGAACCACATCCAGGGAACAGAGCGCCTACTTTGCCACAACCACATACATTAAATGTTTTAAAAACTAATAGACAAAATATGATTGATACCTTATTGCTTAACTTTTTTTATTCATGTTTGTTTTTTTAGTTGTATTCTGCAAAAGTCTTTGATACTTGACTTAGAACACATTTTATTATTTGTTTTGATGACTGAATTTTCATTCTTTTCCTTTTTGTAGCCTGTGCTAAAATTAGCTGGCATCTGCTAAAAGGAGAGATGTATTAGGATTAGGTTCAGCTGTAACAGGATAAACAACAGAGGCTTAAACTAGAGACATTTCTTTCTCTTCCACATAAAAGAGATCTAAGGGGCAGTCCAGAACTGGCCTTGGACCCCCTCCATGAAGTTATGAGGGGCCCATATCCTTCCTTGTCACCCCTACACCATCCCCTGATAGGGTCTCATCCTCACTGTCTAAGGGGGAAGCTGGAGCTCCAGCCATCAAGCCCAACAACAGGACAAAGGGCAGGAAAAAGAGGAGATAGCTACCTACATTTACACTTGTCTGCATCCTGTTGGCCAAAATTCAGGCATGTGGCCTCACCAAGGGAGGCTGGACAATTAGTTCAGCTAAAAATCAGGATCTTACTACTCAGGACTAAGGTAAGAATGGATATTGAGAGGCAGGCAATTATCTCTTCCATAGACAAGGATAAAAATCCTGTTAAAGACAATCCATTCATATGAGAACAATCATTTTTTATGATGAAGATAGCTAACATTCAGTAAAGTTACCAATTGTGGGCATTGTGCTAAGTACTTGATAAGATTATGTAATCTTTACCACAGCCCTTTGAAGAAGATACTAGTAATATCCTCATTTTCATAGAGGAAACTGAGGTATAGAGGGGCTAGGTGATTTGTCCAAGGTCACCCAGCCAACAAGTGGCACACGTAGATTTGAATGCAGGCAGCCTGGCTCCGGAACCCCCAGGACACGACACAACTACGAAGAGAGGCAACTCTTACCAGCAATTATAGAACCAACCCAAAAAGGCCAATGAGGCTTATCTAAGGGGCTTATTGATTCAGGAGTAAGGAGAGGGAACCTGAGCAAGAGCTGCTTTCTTTTTTTTTTTTTTTTTTTAAGATTTTATTGGGGGGTTGGGCGGAGGGGAAAAGCGTTGGGGAATCGGGGAAGGGGAACAGGCAGGTAGACAAATTGCTGTTTTGTTCTTCAGTCTAGTTGTGAAGGACGTTGCTTTCACTGGCCCATGTTGGTATGATCATTGTGCTCCTCCCAGGTGAGGCAATCGGTCACCGGTCATTGGTCAGCCGCTCACAGTGGCTCCCGGTAGCTCACACTGGCTACCAGCCGCTCACGCTGGCTGCCAGCCACTCACATAGCTCACGGCAGCCCACTGCAGCCCTGCTGAAGCCTACGCTGACCCGGCGACTCACAGCAGCCCAGCTCCAGGTCGAGCTGTTGTTCATCATCTTAGCTGCAGAGGGCGAGCATCACTGGCCCTCAATGTGGGATCCGAACCGCAGTCCTGCTGCTCAGACCTGGTGCTCCCAAGCGAGCTCTTAACCAGCTGAGCCACTTGGCCGGCCCAAGAGCTGCTTTCTTACTTTGTGCCTCTGAATATTTCACTTGGTCATCCATTCAACAAAGTTTCTTTCATAACACGTATTATATTTGCAATGAATTGTCTAACACCTGTGTTTGCCACTCCTTGGGGGCACAGAGTAGGTGCTCAGAAAATAGTTACCTGTTTGTGAGGGCATGTGCTAGGCCTACTCTGTGCCAGGCTCTGTGGGGGGTGCTGAGAGTGCAGGAATGAGACACAGACCTGCCCATTGGCACTCATGGCCAAGTAGAGACCAACAGGTGGATCCCAGAGAGAACAAAGCAGGCAAAGGCTGGGGAAAGTCTGGTGTGGAGAGATCGTACTTTATGAGTCACAAGCAATAAGGGGTAAGGTTTGTAAGGTATGCTGGACTTAGAATTTCTCTCAAGCTCAAGGTGAAAAATTGAGCCTCAGCTCTGAGATAATAGGGAGCCACAGGCTTTCAGCAAGTGGTGACAGAGCAGCCATCTACACAGACTGTTCTGGCAGCCCGTGAAGAGGATGGGGGTGGGGGTGGGGGAGACCAGATGTAGAAAGAGCCATGAAGATGCTGGATGAGCACCCTTGTCAGAGGGCTCCAAGGAGGGATGTGACCTGACTGAAGAAAGGCCTACCTCAGGGATGGCTGGGAGATAGACAGGTTGACACCTCGGCTCAATGGAGGCAAGAAAGGAAGAGGTGGACTTTCAAAGCTGGGGAAATGGGACACTGGTTGAGAGGGGTTTGGAGGGGAGTCTGAGGTTGCGTGGTGGCCATAGTGAAGGGTTTGGAAGAAGGAAGGGGGGTGGGGTGAAGAAAAACAAAAGAGGCCCTATGCTTGCCAGACAGATCCCCAAGGGAGTCTGGGAAGAGAAAGAAGGGGGCCTGAGGTAGCCAGAGCAAGGGGGGCTGGAAGGGGACTGGAGAGGGGCCCTGGCTGGAGCTGGGGCAGACGGCAGTTGGACGCCTGCAGGCTGTGCTCATGGCTCAGAAATGTCCCAGCCCTGCCAGGAGCCTGCCTGGCTCCTGCTGCCTCTTCACCGCCCCCAATCCCAGCCCAGCCCTGACATCAGGAGCTCTGAAGCTGTCTTCCCCACCCAGAATGGGCCTCCCCTCCCCAGAACCCTTGCATACTCACACCCTCCCCACCGACCCTCAGCCTTCCCCCAGTGGCTGATGGCACAGGCCAAGGGAGGGGGAGAAAATAAACACATCTGCAGGGTGGGGTGGAAGGTCAGGAAGCAGGATTTGGGCTGCAGATGCCAGGGGGCCCACAAGTCCAGGGGGCGGATGGTGGAAGGGGTCCAGGCAGCAGTCTGAGCCAGCAAGTTAACGTCTACAGTACTTTGCCCCTGACAGGCCTAATGAGACACAGGTGGTGCCCTGGCCCCAGCAGATGCTGGTTCTGTGCTTGGGACGGGAACGGGGGTGGTTCTGCAGCTCCAGGGGGCGGGGCCAGAGTGGCTGACTGGGGCCCAGCACATAACTCGGGGCAGTTGCAGTCTGGGGCAGCAGACACCCAGCAGACACCCAGCCACTCTGAGCTGAACTGGCAGCATGAAGGTACCGGGCAGGGCACTCATGGCGTTAGGGGATTGAGTCCATTCTGTGGAGAGGGCCCTAACCAGACAGTGGGCTAGGAAGGCACAGGGGGTTCTTGTGATCGAGTTGAAATTCTTTAGCTATGAGGATGCTGAGCCTGTCCTAGAGAGTGGGGTTTCTTGGGAGAGGAAGGAGGGCAGGCAAGGGGTTTCTTGCAGGGGGTGGTTTGTGTGTCGGGGCAAGTGCAGAGAAAAAGGGTGGCTCTTGGGCTGGAGAGAGGGGCTGTGCTAAGGTCACCCTGTTTTCCTATCCCCAGGCCCTCCTGGCCCTGCCGCTGCTGCTGCTTTTCTCTACTCCCCCTTGTGCCCCCCAGGTCTCCGGGATCCGGGGAGATGGTAAGCAGCCTGGCCAACAGGCTGGGCAAGCTGTTCTGAGCCATCTTTTCTGGGAGTCAGGCCTCATGGCTGAGCCCCACTCAGCAGGCCTGTCTCCTGCTCTATAAAATGGGGCAGGTAGATTAGATGACCTTCGAGTGTCCCCCTCTAAAAGAAACCTTGTGATTTCTTAGGATGGAGTACCCCGCCCCCAGTGACAGAGACAAACTGTGGGGTGCTGAGGTGTGCGGTATGCCTTAGCCCTCTTCTCCTCACCCTCCCCGCCCTCCCCCAGCTCTGGAGAAGTCTTGCCTTCAGCAGCCCCTGGACTGCGACGACATCTTCACACAGGGCTACCAGGCAGATGGCGTGTACCTCATCTACCCCTTGGGCCCCAGCGTGCCTGTGCCTGTCTTCTGTGACATGACCACCGAGGGTGGGAAGTGGACGGTGAGTGGGAGGAAGGGGACACAGGCCCAGTTCTAGTCCCAGCCTTGTGACCAAGCTTCACCTCTGGAAAACTCAGTTTCTTATCTCTCAAATGGGGATAATACACACAGCATAGTTTGTGAGCTGCTGCCAACACTGAATTCTAGGTGCGTAGTCATGTTAGTGCATATAATCTTCACAATAACCCAAGGAGGAAGGTACATTTCACAGATGAGGAACTGAAGCCAGCAGGTAAAGTAACTCGCCCAAGGTCACAAACCAGCATGACCCTCTCCTCTGCCCACCCCCCACCCCCAGCCATTTGAACTCGAGAATGCCCTCTTTACCTCTGTCTTTTCGGCCTCAGCAGCTGCTCACTGAGGGGTACCAGTGTGAGCCTTGTCTTAGGCCCCCAGCTCAGTCCTTTAACAAACCACCTCAGCATCATAGGGTCCATGCCTAGGTGAAGCCCCTGCCCACTGGACCCTTGATCATCCAGGTTTCATCCTCTCTGCTCTAGGTTTTCCAGAAGAGATTCAATGGCTCAGTGAGTTTCTTCCGGGGCTGGAGTGATTACAAGCTAGGCTTTGGCCGTGCTGACGGGGAGTACTGGCTGGGTAAGGTGGGGCCCAGGTGGGCTGGGGGCTGCCCCAGAGCCAGGTCCTTGCTGACCAGCTGCCCCCCCTCCCCAGGGCTGCAGAACCTGCACCTCCTGACACTGAAGCAGAAGTACGAGCTGCGAGTGGACTTGGAGGACTTTGAGAACAACACGGCCTACGCCAAGTATGTCGACTTCTCCATCTCGCCCAATGCAGTCAGTGCTGAGGAGGATGGATACACCCTCTACGTGGCAGGCTTTGAGGACGGAGGAGCAGGTAACACCCTCCTGCCTGCCTAGGGCGGGGCTGTGGGGGGAGAAGGAGGGGCTGTGGGGGGAGAAGGCAGGCCTGGCACTGCCAAGTTGATCCCTGACCCCGTTCAGGCCCCTCCCGGCCTGGAAGGCCCACAGCTGGCTCCCAGCCAGCTTGGGCCTCAGCTGCGTCCACTCCACTCCAGGCCGCCCTGTGAGAAGCAGCTGTTTCTCTTCACTGCAGAAGCACAGCTACCCAACATCTGGCTCAGGGAGGTGCCTCACCCCAGCAGACAGACACGTGATGTCTCTCACAGCATCACTCACTACTGCTGTCACCTCCCTCCCTGCCAGCCAGGGGCTCAGCTCTCTGCCTCAGCGACCCCATCCCTCTTCCTTTCCACCAGGTGACTCCCTATCTTACCACAGCGGCCAGAAATTCTCCACCTTCGACAGGGACCAGGACCTCTTTGTGCAGAACTGCGCAGCCCTCTCCTCGGGAGCCTTCTGGTTCCGCAGCTGCCATTTCGCCAATCTCAATGGTTTCTATTTGGGTGGCTCCCACCTTTCCTATGCCAATGGCATCAACTGGGCCCAATGGAAGGGCTTCTACTACTCCCTCAAGCGCACTGAGATGAAAATCCGCCGGGCCTGAGGGGCTGGCCCCATCAGACCCTAACGCTCCCCTGGCTGTTCCGGGTCTCCATGAGTGCTCCCTCTGCTGTACCTGTGTCCGCCCCTGCCCCCCATGTCAGTTCTGTGCTCTCTTCATACCTGCTTCTCACAGGGGGCCTATGGCTCTAGCCCCAGCTGATCTGTCACACCCACCTCTCAGCTAGGCCTCTGCTGCCCTCCACCTGAGGCTATGCTGCCAGCAGCTTCCCAGGCCTCCTCTGAAAGGCACAGCCGGCCCGGACCTGCCTGGGCTCCACATGACTTAGTTGCCTCCATCCTATCCCAGGAGCTGCTCTCCCAGCTTCAGGCTTTTGTATTCCACCTTCATCAGCTTTCTTACTATGGGCTCCTCCATTGGGGGCCGTCCTAGCATGCTACTCGGAGGTGGCAGTCTGACCAACACCCAGAGTCTGCCAGACCACCTGCATGTGACCACCATGCCACACCCCAGCAACCCCCTGGCTGTCCTCGGGATGCCTCTCCTCCTTCGCCTCCCTCTGACCAGCTTATTCTCTAATGGTGAGCACCATGGACTCTCCCAGCCCCATCTCACTATCATACTCAGTTTTCCCCACCTGCCTGCACCGGGAACCCAAAGCTCAATGCTAAAACCACAGCTACTGCATGCCTCCCGTAAACAGCCACCATCAAGGTAGGCATAGATACCTCCCACCCACCCCAGGGTTGAGGTCTGACCATGTTAGGAGGCAGAGAACAACTTCCGTGGGGCTGGAAGCAGGTGGGGAGTGGAGGTCTCAATAAACCTCAGGACCCGAAGAAACTGGCTTTGGCTATTGTGCATGCAAATGCGTTTGCTTGGCCCCCAATGTGGGGACCGGATCCTCCCTACTCCCCTACTGACAGCACCCCACCCCCCACTCCAAAGACACCTGGAATTAGGTGCTATAGGGGATGTGATATTTCACAGACCTCATTTTGATGGCAGAAAGACCAATTAATAATAAAATTATGTAATAATAAGTACAATACAAGGATCACTTGGGGAGTAGGGATTTTCCGAACCTGCCATGGCTTGGTGGTGGCTCAGGTGGCAACTTAAGGCTGAAGGGTGAGTCTGAGATGAACCTGCAGTCATCCAAGCTGAGCGTCCCCTGCTGGGCCCAAGGCTCCAGCCCTTGGGAACGCTCGTGTAGGCTGTGGAGCTGGGTCTGCCCCTGGCAAGGCACAGGCTGTGGGCCTCAGGGCTCCTGGAGTTCAGGCAGGTCAGCCAGCAGCATTGGGGAATCCATCTGGATCTCACGTTGCAGGGACTCAATGTCCGCAGGGTTCATGCCGTGGCCCTCGAGCCAGTCAGCAAGAAAGGAGGCTGAGAGCGAGGCTGAGTCTGCCTGGCTACAGGGGAAAGGGGAGCAGGGAGAGCTGTTAGCTTAGATTGGCTCCTCGCCCATTCCACAGGTAAGCTCCTCCTGCACCAGGAAACACTACCCACAGCCCCATTCCAGAAGTTCAATCCAGCCATCTTACCTATCCTGTGGCCCATCAGCCACGCCCATATCGAAAGACTGGTTTAAGAATTCCTCCAGGTCAAAGCCAACACCATAGCCAGCCCCACTGCCTTTTGGAGTGCCTGAGAACACGGGGGGCAAGGGATCCTCCACCTGGAGGGAATAATGGCAGGTTACAACACAGGCACCACCAAGAGCATAGTGAGGTCTGCAGGGCACCTGCTGTCCTGATGCTGTCAGTAACTCAGCCGGGATATCTGTGGCTGACAGTGCCAGCCTCAACTATTACTGAGAGCGGACTGGGGCCCACCTCCAGGCCAGCACTTCCCAGGAGGCATCATATTTGTCTGCCAACAACCTGCTCATCAGCAATATGCTCCTTCTACGAGCAAGAGGCAAGTTCAGAGATAAAGCCCTACCTGCTGCTCAGTTTTTGTGGAACAAGGACACACCAAAGCCTCTCTCATCCCCATCCTCACCAAACGGCAAGGACTTCCCAAACCCATTATCCCTGGGTCCAGATTCAGGTGTCCTCACAGCCTAGATCTCTTCTCTCACCTGAGACTTGGACAGCTGCTGGGTCACCAGGTTGACATCGGGTGACTCTGAGGTGGAGGGCTGAGGGGGCCCCCTGAGATCTGAAGGGCGTAGGCCAGATGAGAAGTAAGGCAAAAAACCCTGGGTGCTGGGGTCAGGCAGCCCAGGTGGTGCCACAATCGACTGAGGGGCCAGGAGGCTGGAAGAGGTGGTAGTTTGGAGTGGAGCAGGGCCAGGGAGTGGCCCAGGAGGGCCGGCAGGGTGGGGAGCAGAACCAGGGTGTGGACAAGCAGGCTGTGGAGCAGGGCCAGGGGTGGAGCCTGCAGGCTGTAGTGGGAGGCCAGTGGGCTGGGCTACTGGGCCAGCTGGAGGACTGGTGGGCTGGGCTGGAGGGGGTGTTGGTACTGGGGTGTGGGCTGGTGCCGGGGCTGGGGCTGGGGTGGGGGCTGGGGGCCGGGCCATGCGGGTCCAGCGCTCCAGCAGGCTGCGATCATTGTCACTGAGCACCAGCCCAGCCAGAGGATCAGTAGAGGCGATCCCAGAGGCCCCAGCCCCCCGCTCTTTGCGCTCCCGCTCCTGCCGCCGCTTCTCCCGCTCCTTGGCTCGTTCCTGCCGCCGCCGCCGCTTCTCCTCCCGCTCCCGCTGGCGCTCCTGGGCTGTCACGGGCTTCCGAGGCTCAGGTGCTTCCAGCGGGGCGCTGGGGCCATCTGCAGGGAAGTTGAACAGGGGGAGGGTGAGGGCCTATGGCCCTGTCCAAGCCTGGAGTCCCCCTTGTGCCACCCCATTTCCCAGTCAGTGGCTGCCTCCACAAGGCACCTCTGAGCCGGCTCCGCAAGGACTTGAGCAGGGCAGCTTTGAGGGCCGCCTTGGTGTTGTCTGAGATGGCACCTTCCCTCTTTGGAGGGGCTGCTTCACTGGCCGGTGGGGGTGGTGGCTGCAGGGTCAGATCAATGGTGTCAGGTACAGGGCCAGGACATGGCAGTGGGGCTGGCGGAGGTGACTCCATGGCACAGTCCCCACTGGGAGCCCAGGGACTGGGCATTTCAATGTCGGGGCAGCTAGGCTCACTAGCCACAGGCTGCAGGGAAGGCTGGAAGCGTATCTGCTGGCGGATGCCCTCACGCCGCACATGGAAGTCCTCAATCTCGGCCACAATGGCCTCCTTAATCCGCTCCCGGGTGAGGGCTTCACGGTCAAAGGCAAAGTCAAAGGGTGGAGCACAGTCAGGCTCATCATCAGGGTCATGGTACTTGGCCAAGAAGGGGTGGCGAAGGGCGGCAGCTGCTGAGATGCGGGAACTGGGCTCAAAACGCAGCATACGCCCTAGCAGTGAGAGGGCCTGACGGTCAGCACCTGGGTACACTGTCTCCCAGGGCACAGGCTGGCGTGGTGGCAGGCTCTGGATATACGCCCTCACCCTTTCAGCCCCTACAGCTTGAATCACTGCTGGTGATGGGGTGCCCAGCACCATCATGATCAGCTGCAGCTGGTGCACGTAGTTTTTGCCTGGGAAGAGCTGGCGCCTGGCCAGCATCTCACCAAAGATGCAGCCCACAGACCACAGGTCAATAGCCTGTGTGTACTCATGCAGTGAGAGCATGAGCTCAGGGGCACGGTACCAGCGTGTGGCCACATATTCGGTCATGAAGTACTGGTGCTCAGCAGGCGAGGTGCACAGGCCACGTGCCATGCCAAAGTCACCGATCTTAAGCTCACAGTTCTCATTCACCAGCAGGTTAGAGGGCTTGAGGTCACGGTGGATGACCTGAGCTGAGTGCATGTACTTGAGGCCCCGCAGCAGCTGGTACAGAAAGTAGCGCACGTGCTCCAGCGTGAGTGGCTGCGAGGAATGGATGATCTGGTGCAGGTCGCTCTCCATCAGGTCCAGGACCACATAGCTAGAAGGGACAGGGGAGAGAGGTATATGGGCTGTCTTGTCTACACTCCAGTCCCAACCTCACCATGTTCTCCTGGCTCGACAAGTAATGGCCCTACCCTCGGACTCTATAAGGGACAACAGCATGGAATGAAGAGTCTAGATTCTCTACAACTTTTCCATGAACTTAAGTGAAGTTAAATCATTTTTCTCTCCAGATCTATTGTAGTTACCCATCAGAGAAAACATGAGGTTGGACTAAACCAGGACTAGCAAATAGATTTAGTTTTGGGGCTGTCTCCATTGTTTGGTAGTGGTCACTTGAAAAACTGATGAACACTGTGGTGGCTTGCACATTTTCTGTAGGTAAGAGTTCTGTGATTGATGAGTGATGACTGCTAAGGGAATAGGCAGTTGTAGTTATAGTATAAGTACATTTACCATCCTTTGTACTGACATCCTATACAACTGTAACATCTGTACTCTTCTTGAGAATCGGCTGTCCCTGGCAAAACCCTAAGGAAGCACTGGTCCTGGAATTGTGGGAATTTCCCCTGCCTGCCTATTAGGTTCAGCAGTCCTTCCAGAACTTCAGCAATATGGTCCCAACCTTCAGAAAAGTCCCAACTCTGCCTCCCTCTCCCATTCCCATTTCTTACACTGATTTGAACTCGCCATAGGGCACAGTGGGCCTCAGGATGTCCTTGATGGCGATGATGTTGTCATGCTTGAAGTGTTTGAGGATCTTCAACTCCCTGAGGGTCCGCTTGGCATTGGTCACCACATCAAAAGCATTAGGGATCTTCTTAATGGCCACCTGCTGGCCTGAGGAGCAGGGAAAAGGCAGATACCATGAGGTACCTTGCAGTCGTTGCAGAGTGGCACAAAGCCCCTTTCAACATCTCCCATCTAGGATGCAAATAACAATACCTACCATATACTGAATAACAACAGTTACTATATACTGAGTACCTACTATGTGCCAACCCCTGTGCTAAGCACTTTACATACACTTCACGCCCGTCCTGAGACAGGTACTGTTGGTTTGTCGGAAAAGTCATGACGCATTTTTGCAACAGAAAACATAGAAAAAAATACGTCATGACTTTTCCGACGACCCAATAATAACTCAAAGTTAGAGATGAGGAAACTCTGCCTCAATAACTTATTGGGGGTTGCACAGCTTGTTAGTGGTAGAGTCTAGACCAGCGGTTCTCAACCTGTGGGTTGCGACCCCTTTGGGGGGTCGAACAACCCTTTCACAGTGGTCGCCTAAGACCATCAGAAAACAAAAAGATACTTACTTTACGATTCATAACAGTAGCAAAATTATAGTTATAGAGTAGCAACGAAAATAATTTTATGGTTGGGGGTCGGTCACCACAAGAGGAACTGTATTAAGGGGTCGCGGAATTAGGAAGGTTGAGAACCACTGCTCTAGACTGTGCTCATTCTACCTCTCTACGCTCTCTCCATGTCAGGAACCCTACCCATCCCACCACCAATCCCTTGTACTAGGTCTGTGGCTCCAGAACACACTTCTCTTTTAGAAACAAAGGATAAGATCTCCATCTAGTCTAATTGGGACTGTCATTTTTCTAAGGAGGAAGTGGGCAGATGTGCTGGCAAACCCACCATGCCAGAGTTTCTGAGAACTGTTCACAACACAGTGCCTGGCACCCAGGTGGCACATAACCAATACTTGTTGACTTGAACCAGAATTTGCGTCCAAGCTTTCCTTCCTGGCTGTTTGAGCCGGGGCAGCTTTCTCACTCTTGGGGAACCGGTTTCCACATCTGTGAGCGGTGCACATAGGGAAGCTCACCAGTGAGACGGCGACGTGCAGAGGACACGACCCCGTAGGCCCCGTTGCCTATGGTCTCGATGATCTCATACTCGTCCCCCACCTCAAAGGTCACATCGAAGGAACGGGCTTTGAGCAGGGCTAGGTTCTTGGCCGCTACAGAGGCAGCGGTGTTGGCGGGTTCCGCCTTCACCGGCCCGGGAGGCTCTCCAGAGCCGTCCTCGCTGTCATCCTCCTTCAGGGGCTCGGCCATGGCGTCTGCGTGGAAACGCTGGTAACAAGGGGCCGGACCCGCCCCAGGCCTCAGTTTCCCCTTTGTGAGGCTGGGGAGCAGAACCACGTAATTCCAAGTTCCCTAAGCCGATGGAGACCAGGTAGGGGGCAAAAAACAGCGGCTGGCATGTAGTAGACGCCCCACACCCGGGACTCTGCGCCCAAAGCTCAGGTCCCGGTGCAACGCGGGGTTGGAGGTGGGGGAGGTGCGGCGAGGCGCGGTTCAGGAAGAAAGGGAGGGGGCGGGGCACTTCGCTCTCCTCGGTCTACACTCACCGAATCGCGCCTCACCCTGACGTCTCCTCGGGGCTTTCGAAGGTCCCCGGGGCCCCTGGCCTCCCGACCCCAGTGGAGGGAGCCTCCAACAGTCGTTCGCTCACGTGTTTAAGACCTCCGCCACTACCTCAGCGTAGGGCTCAGCCCCGCTGGTACACCCCCCCCCCGCCGCCCCGCCTCCCAAGACCACGCTCCTTCCATCCTCCGGCCAATCGCTGGGCGCTCTCTGAGGAGGTTCTCACCCTTGTGCTTACGTCGTCCAATCCGAGCCCACCTGATTAAGAAAGCCACGCCTGTGCCCCGCGCGCGCGCCCGCGCGCGCCACTGCCCAGCTAGCCGGCGGGAGCCGCCCAAAGTGCGCTTTGCGCTTCGCAGGGGTACTCTCGGTACCCGGCGCCGTCTTACGACGCATGCGCGCTGGCTGTCCCAAGCGCCGAGTGAATGGAAGGCAACGCCCCCGTGCGTGCCCGCGCGCATCCCAATGAATCGGCTAGGTCTCCTCCGGCAAATCGTAGCTGGTCCTTGCAGCTCCGAGGGGCTAAGATACCTGGAACCGTTAGCTTGGAGGCCAGCTCACGAAATCCTCCCACTTCAGGCCCGTCTTTCCTTTTCAGTCCCTATCGCTTGAGGGATTGTTCCCCGCCATTTTCCCGATCGGTCCCGGACACCCGGCTCTGGGAATGCATCATCCCAGAAGAGGGTGTTCCGTCACATCCAACCACAGAGTTCCCTGTCCTCCGGGATTCTAGAGCGTCATGCCTGAAGCCGCCACTGACTTACAGTGGCTGGTCCTCTCTGCACAGCTTCCGGCGTCTCTGAGCCTCAACTTGTTATTTCCTAGCCTCCGGTGTGTTCCCTGTTTGTGATGGCTCTGTTCCAAGATTGCGCGGGCTCTTTGTGTTCCAGCGGAGTTGGGCTAGCGGGCGGGGCCGTCCAGCCTCTACCCTCCGGTGTCCTCGCGTCAGCCGAGCCCAGACAGGGCAGAGCCGACACTGAATCTCAGGTTCCCTGACCCACTCCAGAGATCGATGGTTCGATCGTTCATATAGCAAGTATTTATCGAGCACCAACTCTCTAAGGCTCAGTGCTGAGGAGGCAGAGGTAGACATGGTAGTGTGAGCTGGGAGAAAAGGTTTTCAACAGGGAATTCGAGGTAGGGCTGTAAGGAAGAAGGTTTTGGAGTTGGGACTCCAAAGATGGCTGGCTGTGTTTTCACCAAGGGAGAAAAGAAGGAAGCGTGGGGAAACAGACTGAAGGTATGGAGGTCGAGAAGCAGAGCAACGCGGGCTCTGTAGGTTCTTCCTTTGCCCTAAATAATGACCGGTTGATGGAACCCAATAAAGTCTGAGTGCCAGATTGTGGGTTTATTCCTTACGTAGCAAACTAGTATCTGAAAAGTGGATCCAGACCAGAAATGAATTTTTGTAAGCCTACACACTTTTTAAAAGTTTTGTTTTGTTTATATTCCCCACTGTTGTGTTTTTGTTTTTTACTAAAGCATGCGTAAAGTTCCACTAATTTTCACAAACTTAGTGCACCAGTGTATTGGATTCAGATGAAAAGAAAAACATTACCAGCACTAACGAAGAACCTTCTCTTTTCTACTGGTGATAGTTTCTTCCTGTTAACTCTTTTCCATACTTTTTTTTTTTTGCACTGAATTTTAAGAGGTTTATTGGGATCCATACATTGTAATATTGCATTTTTAAAAACTCAGCATGAAGAAAAATATATTTAGTAGTATTAGGTCAATATTAGGACAAATAGATATCTAGTATTTAGACATATAAAAACCATATGTGCCTCCTGAGTTAAGGTTGAACTATAATGTTTGTTCCTGATTTTCCTGAGCACATAGCAAAAAGCCAAATATGTGTTACATGATTTGCACTGAACATGAATAAAGAGACCGTATTCATGGGAAGTGAATACGGTCTGATGAAAAGTCTGATGGCCTTTCTTGAGGTGAAAGACAGTTTTCCCTAACTCTGAAATACATGCATAAAGCCTGCGGTGTTCCCCTGTGTAAATAGCAGGATACGTAAGCACATCTTTTCAGGGGACCAAGTGGACAAGCTGTGTGGTCCTGTCTGATCCAGGAATGGAACAAAACACCAGAAGAGACTCAGAAAATACCCTTTAAATTCTCTATAGATATTTCAGCGAGGCTGTGTGTACATGTTATAGACTTCACCCTTCTCTGGCAAAAGCTTGCTAATTCTTTTAATTTTCAATCCACCATGAGCTGCTTTGCTCTACTCCCACTAGGCCCTTATTCTGTCCTGGAAAAGTCATCAATTATCTAACTATATTAAAACACAACAGACATTCTTCAGTCCTTGCCTTACCGAGCTCCGCTGCATACGATACAACTGACCGCTTCAAGAAAAATCCATTTCACGTGGTTCAAAAGGCTTAAATGAAAAGTCTTGGTCCTACCCCCAGGTGGCCACTTTTATAATTTCTTATCAGAAATAAGAAACAATACAAACTCAACACAAGCAAATGCAAATACACATCCTTATCCACCTCCCCTTTAATATATATAAGGCAGCATATATCTTTTTCCTGAAGATCATTAAGTATCAATAACCAGAGAGGTCCCTCATTCTTTTTTTTTTTTTTTTTAAGATTTTTATTGGGGAATTGGGGGATGGGAACAATGCTGGGGAATTGGGGGAAGGGGAACAGACAAGTTGCGGTCGTTTTGTTCTTCAGTCTAGTTGTGGAGGACGTTGCTTCACTAGCCCAAGTGGGCACTATCATTGCGCTCTTCCAGGGCGAGGCAGATCAGCCCCTGGCTTCTGGACAGCTGCTCACTGCGGCTGCTGGCCGCTCACGCTGGCTGCTGCTGGCTACACACGGTAGCCCATGGCAA